CGAATAAAAACCTGACCCATTCGCTTTTCGAATCTCGTTTTCGCTGCCTTAGCATCAATCTGTAAACGCTGTATGTCGCATTTTCGATAGCACGCTCAAATGATTCTATTCAGAGTGAACATCATGAAAATTGGCGAAAAGTTTTGTTAAATGGTATACGGGCAAATGATAATATTTGTTCTTGTTCCCATTTACGAGTTATTATTATTTTTCATTTTTGTTCTTAATCTTTTAATTTTACGAAGAAAAAAACGTGTTACATTGATTATTACTTGTTTTACGTATTACTTGTTGGATTATTTTGCATTATTTAATTTTGAAAAAGATATTCAGTGAGTGATATTATTCCTTTTTATTTTTCTATCTTGAAATATTTGTTTATAAATGAATGTTTTATTTACATATATATGAAATGATTGGTTTTTCTATATGAATTTCGTTGAATTATATTTAAATAAAGTAAAAATAAAGAATGATAATTTATTGTAATTAAAAACATTTATATATATGTATCTATTTTATTCTTATATAAATCGCTCAGAAAAGAAAATCAATTTCTTTTTCTTTATCAAAATATATTTTATTAACAAATAATGGAATTGATAAGTTTGATTTTTGATTGTGAAAGATATGTATATATATGATTCATAACTTAAACTGCTTTAAATTTTTGCATAAAATATACGTAATCTATAAAACTATCTATGATGAAAGGAAAGTGAAAAAAAAAGAGAAACAATTTAATTGAATTTGATATATATCGTTAGTAAAATTCCATTTCAAACGAAATATTATTTTTTATATAATTTTCTTCAACGATAATAATTTTTAAGGATTAATATTACTAAAAAAAAAAAAGTAATTTTATATTGAATTGTATATAATATTGTATAAAAAGTTGTAAAAGTTCTAAAAATATTCTAGCGTATTATATTTCTTTAAGTTCAAACTTTTTTTATGTGATTCTTCAAATTTCATAGTTGTACGATCGAGCAAAAGTTACAAGAGAAAAAGAACTATAAATTTTTCTTTCTTTTTCTCTATCTCTCTATCTCTCTCTCTTTCTTTCTGCTGCTGCTGCTGCTTCTCTTTTAATGAATAAATATAACGCTAGAAAGTTTCATGTCTGTCGCATATGATCGCAAAAAATATGCTTCTTTAGAAAAGTTTTAAAATCCACATGAAGTGGATAGGTATCTCATTCTCGAGAATTATGGTTTCCCACTAACTTGTTAGCCATTCTTTTACGGAGGATGAGTCACGTAACATAGAAACATACATATCCCTTTCGTTTTTGGACAAAGAGTAGAAAAAAAAAAATAAATAAATAAAATAAAAGTAGAAAAGCCAAATGGTTTAACGAGCTCTAACCTTTTGTACCTGTACTTATTCTCTACGTATATTAGTGGAAACTGCACCTGCACGAACCTTCTAACGAACGAAACCATATAATTTTATCCATCCGAATTAACTGCTCTTTTTACTAGGCAAAAAAAAAAAATTTGAAACGTATTCAGATCTTTTATTAGTGAAAAATAGTTACACAATGGACAAAATGGATGAAATATATTATGTTTTGTAAATTATCTTTTACAAATTTCTATTCCATTTTTAAACATAATGTTTCATTTAAAAAAATAATAATAAAATAATTAAAATAAAATTTTTAATTAAGATCAATGAAAGAACAACTTGTTAATATAGTTAATATTATATATATGTATATATAATAATTATAAATTTTATTATTAAAAAAATGGAAATTATTTTTAATAGTAATCAACAGAATTTTATGTTTCCAAATTAAAATCCAATTTTAAAATTCACAATTTATAACATATAAAATTATTGAATTTAAATTGTAAAAGAATATGATAAATTTTAAAAATATTATTTGAATTGTTTAAATATCAAACGATTGAAACTTTCAAATTATTAAGAAAAAATTAATAACTTCCTTTTGATGAAAGAAATTGAATATCTGTTAACTTAAGTTAATCAATTTCATGAGAAATTTACATGGTCGGTAAAATAATTAAAAGTAAAGAGAATTATTTGCAAATAAATATTCAAGATATAACAAAATTTTGATGACTTGAAATCGACGAAGGAAAAATTATTTATTAAAAAATTCATATTAATTTATTTTCTTTTTAATTTTTATCACTTGATATACAATGTCATAACTTTATAACTTCTATAAATAAATAGATTACATATTTCTAAAATTATCAAATTATCAAATAAATAAATAAAAATATTTTTTGTAAATATAAAAAGTTATTAATATAACGAATGTAAAAAGTTTAATATTAATATGTGTAGTTTATATAAATAGTAGATACAAATTAAAAAAGAAATAAAAAAAAAATTTGCTTTTCGTAAAGTTAAACACTGATCAAAATTTTCAAAAAATATCTCCAAGCATTGCACTGTTATTGAATTTTTATCAAAATATTTACCATTTATCGATGAATGTTTTTCAATTAAACGATCGTCAAAAAAAACCGATAAATAATTATTTGAATCCAAGTATCATGAATTTTGTTTACTTTTGTAAAAAATTAAATCGAAACATACTCTGTATAAAATTTAATATTTGAACTTTATTATTTATGAAAATCTAGATATCTCAAAAAAAAAAAAAACAACGAAATATGTCCATTTATCACAGAGCTATATATTTTATTTTAATGAACGATAATTTTATCTTTAATAATACATAATAATTACTAATTATAATATTTATATTTCTATAAATAGAAAATACTTGATATCTTCTAAATAAAATATTTCAAATTCCAAATATTTATCTAGAATTAATCTAATGAAACCTCCTCACAATACCGGAATTAAAAATTATTTCAAGGCAAAGGATTGATCATCAAACCTAAAAAAGATTAACTGGAAACTCTTAAGAGGCTATTTAAAACTCAAAAAAATCTCGAGTTGGCTGTTCCCTCGAACTTTTCAGTAAATTAGTAAACTAGTTTATTAGAATTCTGTTTCAATCTTTGAAACTCGTTTCTTGATTGATTTGATTCGGAAAAAAATAAACAAACAAGATCAATAAATTTGAATAGGTGTTTAAAAGTTCAGATTGCATTAAATTTCCTTCGATTTATCTAATTATTAGTGCGATCGAGGACTGAAGTGGCCACCATTCTTCAATCGAACAAATTTTAAGAAATGGATAAATAAAATTATTGTATGATCAAATTTGAACGATTAGTGAGTTTTTTTTTAAATAAAAAGTTACTCTCAATACAAACGAAAGAAGAAAATTTATATATAGAGATGATATATATAGATATAGAGATGAACAGAAAAATATAAATTCGATCGAAATATTCAATCATCATGGATACATGGATTTTTTACGCATGATAGTTACTTCAATTTTAACGAACATTTTCCACGATAGATTTTATATTTCTCGTTGCAATTCAGAATAAATAATATTTATATGAATATATATTAATGTTTTAAATTATTTTATAAAACAGAGAAAATTTTGGAATATTATTTTATGAAATAATTTTTTTTTAATGGAATAAATAAAGAATACGCGTAAAATAATATTAAAATTAAACTCTAATATTAAAATTAAACAATTTCTATCGTGCCCAGAAAAAAATTTCATTTTTGAATTCCTTACTTTGCTGATAAAAATTCTACGTATTTAATTGAACGAAATATTATATAATGAAAGAGATTTCAATAATGAAAAAGATTTAAATACGCCATTTTTTAACAGTTTTTAAAAGTCTAGAACAATAAGAAAAATAATTATGGACATAAATTATCCACGGAAAGTGCAAAAAATGTGTTTGTTCATCGAAAAATTAGATTATTAAATAATAATTAATAATTAATAATTAAATAATAATTAACTGAAATACAAAGTAGATAATATTTTCTTTATATCATGAATATATAATTCAATATCTTATGGAAATTTATAGTTTATACACATAAAATAAAATATAATAAAGATCATTTTTCAAGATATTAATATTTATTTTATATTAATATTAATATTTTTAGTTTTTTTTTAATTTAACAATATAGTAAATTTAATTTTACTATAAAACATAAAGTATCATTTTATGCTTGTTATCTAAAATTCGGAATATAAAAAATCATTTTAACATTCATTTTTATGTTTTCTTGTTCAAAGAGAAAATTTCAATTTTTCTTTCATATAAGAAATTTTAATAAAAATATTTTTATTTAATCTTTTATTATATGATTATTAAATAAAAAATACATGACGATATGTATATCCAATATATATTTATAAAAACAAAATTGTTTTTTGTTTTTTTATTTTTCATTTTTTGTTTCTAGTAATTATTTCAATAATTATATGAAAAGAAAAAGATTTTCGGTGATTTTTATAAATGTTATAAAAACTAAGATTTTGAACAACTTTTTTCTATATGTATAAAATTTGCTCCATAATTTTCAAAAAATGCTATTAATATATTATAATTTTGTTTATACTTCATGATAACATGTATGTAAGCACGTGACTGCCATTTATCTTCTGTTAATACAAATATATATCACGATGGTTGACACTTCAAATATAATGAATTGATATCATATGAATATCTATCCATCATATATATTATTTTATCTATTCATAAAGAGTTTGGAAATTCCATAGATCTATGATAATATAAAATATAAAATAATCGAACGATCGAAATCATAATAATCGATATTATAAAAATAAATACTAATTAAATAAATATAAAGCTAATATCATTATCATTGTAATTTTTGATTTCAAAGATTGTTTTATATTTCACTTTTGAAGGAATTATTTAAATACCAGATATTATTATATAGATATACCAGTATGAGGAAAAATTCAAAATATGATATTATAATATTATCGAAAAATTTCTAGAGGATATTTAAAAATCGGAGCTCTTTTGTAAACTTATAATTATTATTTACATAATACGAAAAAAGATAATTGAAAAACTTACGGGCATAGCTGTTGAAGTTCCTCCTTCTTCGTCACAAAGCTCAAGTCGTTGGTGTTGATTCTCTCGAAAGGCCTTCCGCATCTCACCAACCTTTCGTGTCCGCACTCTTGGCTCCGACAACTGCCAAGCACTGAAACGGAAACAGTGATAACGTAAAGTAAAGAAGAATGCGAACAAATCGGACAAACTAACGATAAGATGTTTCCAACATTGAACAATTAATAGCCTGAAGCAATCTGGATGTCATTTTAAAATATCCTCCAATGAGTTTACACTTCGGATACTATTTCATTTTAAGATTTATCGATTGTCAAGCGAATAGAAAAGCGGCACATTTGTTCGCTACATTAACTTCCGTTTAACCTTTTCACAGCTGGAGAAGCTGTGCAAAAGAAAATATTTTATGATTAACATGAATTTAACATTTGAGAAAATTGACATTATCAATATATAGATTGAAAAGTAGAAAGACTAATTTTTAATTAGTATATATAAGCAATTATTGATATATTAATTTTAATTCTTTAATTCAATCGAAAATTACTGAATTAATATTTAATTTCATTTAAAGTTCATGTATGAATCAGTCAAAAATAAAATTCTAAATATTGAGATTATTCTAAAGAAATATTTTAAATATATAATCAAATTCATAATAATAATAATAAGTTTATAAGTAGTCTTTTAATATTTTTCAATATTATGTTTTAGAAATATCTTATCATTATATCATTATTATCTTGATTACAAGATAAAAGATTAAAAAAATCGAAAATTGTTATTTTTAAATTTCTCTTTTGAAATTTTAAAATTTTTCGTCGAATATTTATTGTCAAAATTTGCATCGTTAAAAAAAATTATACAAGAAAATATATTTATTGGAAATTTTTATTGATAACTTATTTGTAAAATTTAGAAATATTGTAGAAGAAAACTTCACTGAAAAGTATGACACTTATAAATTTTAAAAAATCCAAACTCAATCACTATTTCCATCTTCTTTTTTCATTTTTCTGCAATTGTAAAAAATTTTTTTCACTATTATACACAATTTATTAAATTTACTTCAGTATGTTCCATAACATTTTGATTAAATATCTGTACTAAAGTTAACTCTAGTATATTTTAATTTTCCTGTTTTATAATATATTTCAAATAAAGTAAACAATTTTTGTTTCTTTATTCACAAATAAATATTATATAACAACATATCGAATTTCCACAAAGAGAATCTTCTCTTTATCAAGAACATAATTATCCACGTTGAATGATTTTTGTGTTAAAATGACAAAGAGTAATAAGTATAACGAGAAATGAATTAATAAAATTGTAACAGACGAAATAAAGAATGCAAAGAATTCTTGGAATAATTTCAATTTGGTCTCGAGTCACTTGATTTCTTCAATTATCGTATACTTGAAAAGTTATTTGTTGAAAGACAAAGTTACAAAAGAAAAATGATCTTGACCTCATTCAAATCCTTCTAAACAACAAGTTAATCATGTTGTCTTTGATCGAGCTAACTACGTGCCACGATTGCCAATTTAAACAAATTAATTTTTTACTTAAAACTCATCCAACGCGTTAATAATAGAAGTAATTGCTACGTCTTAGAATAAGATAAAACGTGACTAGATAATATATAATAGACTTCATTTTGTCAGTCACTTTAATTATTTACAGGTTCCATTTTATCAATTACTTTAATTTTATAATATTTATAAAAGGAATAATAATCTTATTATTAATATTTTCACATAAAATAAAACAAAATATTTGACATAAAAGAAAAGAATTAAATTTAAAATATGAATTTATATACATAATTTATATACAAAGAATTTAAACATACTTGTTCACATTTTATTTATAATATTTTATAAGTTGTATTATATAATATTCTGATAAATTAAAATTTTTTCTTTTGAATAAAAACTAAATAAATTTTTTTTCTATAAAATATATCGTATAAAATTCATGACAAGATATAAAAATTTTCTGTTTTATAAAGTATAACTATAAATATTTTCCTATATAAAATAAATTTGATATGACATGACATAATTTTTTATAGACTCTAATAATAATGTTACTTTACTTTAAAAATGATATCTAATATTAATTCTTACATAAATTCAAAAATAATCATCAATTTGAAAAAATTAGAAATTTTTTTTATAAAGAAATTAAAAATCAATATTCTTCGCATAATATATAATTGATGTATCCACTAAAATTTTATACAAGTCGTTTTTACATATCTAACAAATCTAATATATCTAAGTCTAAGAATTATAATTATAAATAGAAATTCTAATCATAAAAATTAATTATTAATTTATCGATTAACCAAAAAAAAAAAAAAAACACGAAAAATATTGATTCAATGAAACGTGAAACATGACGTCACGTTAGAAAACTAGGACGATAATAAATCCACGTTAATCTGTACACTGAGTCGTCGACTAACGGCATTGGTATGGATGTACCACTGCACAATGTCCGAGCAATGCTAGGTTGATCCACTTGAGCCTTGGCTTGTCTTTTTGCAAGGATTAAAGCGGATTGCGCGTGGCCAACACGGGCGCCCAGGGTAACGAGAGTTTAGCTAACATTGCACAGACCGGTCCCATACACATCTATCCAACTGCTTACATGTGTGTAACATACTCGTGAGAACATGCAACGCATTTGACGAGGGATCCTCTGACTTATCGTTGATATCGAGAGCAAAGGAAATCATTCGTACCTTGGCGATATATTTCGAAGGAACAACAAAAATTCGTAAAATGACTTTTATATAATATAAAAAAATTATTTGAACGTCAGTTTTAACAAAATTGAACGAGAACGTGTAAGTAAAATTAATCTTTTTATTTTCAAATTGGAAATATTTGAAGAAATCTTTTATAAGATTTTTCTATCTTTTTTTAAATTAAATATATACGAATTTAAAAGCTGTTTTTAGTTGAAGCTTTTAATAAAGACTAAATATTAAAGTGTGAACGATCTAATTTCGTTCAAGTTATAGTATGAAACATGAAAAAAAAAA